ATATATATATATATTATATATTATATTATATACATATATATATATATATATAATATATATATATATATATATATATATATACTATATATATATATATATATATATATATATATATATATATATATATATATATATATATATAGCACATCTATGTGTATGTGTCTGTTTCCGTGTACGTATTTTCCTAAATGCGTATGTGAAAATCCCTCTCTTCCTCCCCCGATTAGTCTTCGTCATCGCCGTCGGCAGCATTCGCGGTACCCCCCACCCCCCACCCCGTCCCTCCCCCCGGCGGCGCCCGTCCGTCTCCCGGCGACAGCTCCGTTATCATCCGTCTCGGCCGATCCGTCACGGACGTCTGGGGCTCCTTCCAGCGCCGCCCCCCCCCCCCCCGCCTGGAGGAGGAGGGGAAGGGAGGTCGTCCTTCGGTTTTTATTCCTCGGCGCGTGATTCGTCTGTCTGTTTCCCGGCGTCTTCAGTGGCCAAAGCCGCGGTCGACCAGCCGGGTGTCGGGTGAGCCTCGGGCCGCTGTACTTTCCTCCTGACGACGATTATCGACTTCACGCCCATTGCTCTGTGCCGCAGGATTTAAGAGAATGAAAACCCTCCTCCAATCCTCTTAGGTTATGAAAATTTCTTACGTCGCTAATGGAAAATGGATGTCTACTATTTTCTACTTGCTATATTTTTTCGTTACACCTTTTTTTTTTTTTTTTTTTTTTTTTTTTTTTTGAGGGGCCGGGATCTCGGTATTTTGTTTTAGAACACATATAAAGGTCATAAATTCGTCAATAAAAGAAACGAGTACAAAGAAATCATCTTTTTAATTGTTTAATAAGCAATTAGTCTCATTATATAGAATAAAAGGATAAATGTATGCTCAAAATACCTTCAAGTTTAGAGAATAGAGATTAAGTCAAAATTATATCAAATGTAATAAGTTTTGCAGCGATTCACAGAAAAGCGTTTAATTGCAAAGTACTTCGATTAATTTTTGCTTTATTTCCTGATATGAACATAATTATGGTGATTAGGCTACTAATTTCAAACAAAATAATAGAAGATAACAATAACGTAAAGAAAAAATATAATATATATATATAATATATAATATATATATATATATATTATATATATATATATATATATATATATATATATATATATATACAGCAAACACTAACGAAAACCAATATCAACAACAGCATTAACAACGAAACTATCACAATAACACTACAATTATGATAATAAGACAATAGTACGATTTATCGATGCGAAAGGCGCACCTGGTTAATACTTATAATTCTGAAAGTATAGGCTATTTGGATTTATGGCTCCAAGACGTCATCATAATGTCATGGTCATTAAGCCAAGTTATATTCTTGCGCCGCTGGATTACAATGCCGCACTTTCTGTCCATTACAAATGCACATTTTGCAATCCGCTGGCTGTTTGATCAATGTGAAATCAATGTGCTTTATGTGAACATCTTCAAAAAGGCCTTATCCTTAGTCTTTGTAATTATAGCACTGCGGATGTTGAAAGGTAAGCATGTCCTAACAAACACTATGTTCAGACAAATGTTTACACAGATTGATTCTAGCTAATTCACAGGAAGGGCGAATTTCATGATTTCATTAATTTAATCTGTTCATCTATCTTGTAAGAAAAGAGGGATTTAGTAGCTAGATACTAGCAAAATGTGCTAATGTCACCGTTGTTGCGTCTGATATAGGGAACGACATCAAGAAAGGTTTATTTTGATATATATATTATATATATATATATATATATATATATATATATATATATATATATATATATATTATATATATATATGTGTGTGTGTGTGTGTGTGTGTGTGTGTGTGTGTGTGTGTGTGTGTGTTGTGTGTGTGTGTGTGTGTGTGTGTGTGTGTGTGTGTGTGTGTGTGTGTGTCAGAAATGTACCAGTTTGGAGAATTCTGGAAATCTAACATTCTTATACAATCCTGGCAACATAATCCTGTGTCAATGATTATTTCAATCCTCGCAACTTGTTGATATTGTCATCAGTAGATACCATACAAGCCTCACGACTTAATCTCGCTACCAGGATAAAGATACTGTATTCTAGACTCTGTAAAATCGGTCAGATTCTTTCATAATGAAATCGTGACAACCCAATCCGTCTTTTGGTGAAACAATCGTAGGTAGTTTGGCGGATTCCTTGAAGAGGAACGGGACAGGAGTCATTGTGTAAGTTGCGACTATTAGCGAATCTCTCGGCGAGGGTATTGACTCTGTCTCCTGAGTCACTGATGGTCTGATCATTGTCAATCAGACTAGGATGTTTGTTAATAGCTGAGCAAGCCGCTGTAGGTTGTTTTAACTTGCTACAGTTCCTCTTTTTAGAAGTCCGCTAAGATTTGGTCTCGTTTGCCATATTTATGCATAGAGAATAATTGCATGCTTTATTTCGTTTACTAAGTACTTGCCAACAGTCTGGCGTCCAGCAGAGTACGCTATATTTTATAGAGTCTAGTAAATTATATGCAGTAGATCAATAAAAACATAAGGTATAGATCAGCCTTTTCCAATCCTGGAGTCGCCAAGCCCTCAAAATATCAGACTTGGCCGATTTTCAATTTTGAGATCTTTTCAGCTTGTATGTAGTCATATCGATTAAGAGCTAATGGCAAAATTTTGCTTGATTATTACACAATATTTTAAATGCAGTCGAGAAGGATCCACTGGATTCTGATGAAAATGTAACAAAATAAAATATAATCGTAATTGTGGATTTTTGTTTATCGTTATTTATGTTTGTTGAATGATATAACAAAAATAATGTAATGTAATGAAAGACCATAAGCCTATACATTGCAGAACGGACTGCGGGCGCGGTCATGTCTGGAGGAGCATGATTGAGATCGCCTGAAAAAAAAGGTTGGGAACCGCCGGTATAGATTAAGGCTAAAAGTGATAGCTCTTCAGTAACGCATGCAACAGGTTCTCTTCACACTGCAGCAAATTCTGGAGTGGAAGTAATATTAACGTTGCCATTTGTATTGTCGGATGACCTTTTAAAGAAGTACCATGAATCTATTGGCAAGTCGGTGCCATTGGTTACATTTTTTATAAAAAGTCACATTATTTCTTTCTAACCCCGTGCGTGCGCCGGCAGTCCTTATGATACTTATGGATATCTTTTTTATGTTTATTGGCTCTGCAATTCTAGCAATTCACCATTATCAAATATCAGGCAATCCGAGCTGTAGACTTAGGTACTTCTTATCAAATCTACCTCCTCATACTTTCTCAGAATAGAATATGAAATACGGTTCTTCAGGGAATATTAAATAAAGGTTGCTCGTGTTATATTACTTACCTTACGTAAGAATCTAACGGTAATTCAACCATGACACTTTATATCAACAGACCGTTATCATTTTATACAAAGCGATACATAGGATAAATCTAATAGATCTTGGATTCTCAACACCAGACCACAGTAACAACAGTCCATGGTTTGCTTTGTAACCAACAGCTCGGAACTTTACGTGAACAATAAAAGGTCCTTTTAAGTGCTGTAGACTTTAAGCTTGGAAACTGAACATCTATATCAATTAAAATCCTTAAAAGACAAAAAAATTACCTGCATATTCAATTTGAGGATATTTGCATCGACTTTTATAACTTTTGTATTTGATGTTATGTAATTGACATACATTTTATAATGTACTCACATAAGGCAAGATCACACAAGTGTCCTCAGTGAACCAGAACATTCAAATGTATTGTTATGTATCTTATATATCTGTATCACTGAAATACTAAACATGGGAGGGAAAGGCAAGTAATAACAGATAAGAACTCCAGTGACACTCTCGCGGTCTGTCAGTCAAGGAATCCTTTTCCTTCCAGACAACTGTCTCGGGAAAGACTGAGCGAATTGCCTTTTCACTTCAGACATCTTTCGACGCCTGGCTCTGAAGAAACAAATGGAAGGCTGGAGGTGACGAAGTAACAGTTATGCTATGTTGAGTATATAGATGTTGAATATATCTTGTGCAATGATATATGTTGTACTATATTACAAAATACAATTTATGATCAAGAATATATATTTTCTGTTTCCCATGCAAGCACAGATATCGGCAATGCTACGCAAAATATGATATTAAATATGTAACATGTAAATGGCACAGCAGTAACAGTGTACAGTTCATATCGTAGGTTATTTTCCCGTTGACCAAAATTTGCAGTCGTTTCTGTGTGTAGTGCATATGCCCGCGCGTGCGCGCGCGTGTTGACTTGATAACTATATGTAGTAGAAAAAAATATTTATTTTGATAATAACGATGGTGATTATGATAATAATAATGATGATAATTTTCATCATAATTATCATCACAATAATGATAATAATCATTATGATACTGATAATATAATATTATGATATTGATAATACACAATACTGATAATGATAATAATTAGGATGATAATGATAATGGTGATGATGATGAGAGCAATATTACTAATTAATAATAATGAACATAATATTGAGAATGATAATAATAATTATTATAATAATAATAATAATAATAATAATAATAATAATAATAATAATAATAATAATAATAATAATAATAATAATAATAATAATAATAACAACAACAACAACAACAACAACAACAACAACAACAACAACAACAACAACAACAACAACAATAATAATAATAATAATAATAATAAGGGCCCGCAGGCCTCCCTCCCGCCCGGGCGACACCGACCGCCCATTCCCCCCGAGAGACTTGCGTTCCGATTTTCTTGAATTATTGTTTATTATTTATTATTATTTATTACTTATTTATTATTTATGAATTATTATTATTATTTATTAATTATTAATTATTATTTATGAATTATTTTGTTTATTTATTTATTATTATTTTATTTATTATTTATTATTTTATGAATTATTATTATTATTTATTAATTATTAATTATTATCTATGAATGATTGGATTCCATGAAACGGTCTTCGCGAAAGGCCAGATTCTTCCCGGAGAGAGAGACCAGATCGGAAATCAGAGCCGCCGGCAGAGCCTCTTTGGGCGCGCAAACATCGCCTCAAAGTTTCAAGCCCAAAGCAGACTCGAGGCTCCTGTGAGCTCGCCTCCTCAAGCACAGGATCTCGCTCCTTGGGGGGGGGGGGGGATTGCTTTCAAAGATGGCTTGCAGTATTTAGCAAGCGGAGAGGAAGCGTGTAAGTTGCCATGAGTTGGGCGTTACGAAGGCTATCGACTTTGGGGGCGGCGATGTTTATGGGCGAAAATTTCCGTTATTTTTAATGTAATTACGTTTAGTACTACATTTATAATTATAACATTGCAATTATCAACATTATGGCAATTCATATTAGTGAACACATCATTTTGATTGTTATCATTGTTATTACATATTTTTTCAGTGGTTCGCCATTGCTATTGAGATAATTATGATTATTTTGTTATGATTGTTATTATTATGATCATTATTATTGTTACTGTTTTTTTTATCATTATTGTAATCATGATGATGGTGATGATGATACTTGTTATTATTATTATTATTATCATCATCATCATCATCATCATCATCATCATCATCATCATCATCATCATCATCATCATCATCATCATTATCATTGTTTTTATCATCATTACTATCATTATTATTATTATTATTATTATTATTATTATTATTATTATTATTATTATTGTTATTATCATTATCATCATCATCATCATCATTTTTCATTAATGTTATTTATATTACTATTACTATAAATTTATCACTACTATTATTGCTGTTGTTATGAATGTCATTATTATTGTTATTATTGTTAATATTATTATCGTTACTCTTTTTGTTATCAGTATTTTTATTATCATTATTGTAATCATGATGATGGGGATGATGATGCTCGTTATCATTGTTGTTATTATTATTATTATTTTGATGATGATGATGATGATGATGGTTATTATTATTATGAATATCATTATTATTATTACTAGGGTTTGTTTTATTTTGTTATTATTACCATTACTATTATTATTCTAATTATTATAGTTATTACTGATATCGCTAGTATATTTATAACTATTATTATTGTTGTTTTTATGACTATTATTATTATTATTATTATTATTATAATTACTCACTCTTCTTGTCATCAGTATTTTTATTATTATTGTCATTATCCTCCTCCTCCTCCTCCACCTTATCATCATCATCATCATTGCCATCAATGTTATTTAGTAATACTATTATTACTCCTATTATTATGAATTTTTATTATCATTATTACTTTAATTGTTGTAACCATTATGATAATAAAAGTTATTATTATTACTGTTATCATTCAGTAAATAAATAAATAGCAGTAGTAGTCTTGTTATTATTATTATCATTGTTGCTCTTATTTTCTTATATTACTATTATCATTATTATTTTCATTGTTGTTAGTGTTATTATTCTCATCATCATCATTTTTATTATCATTATTACTATTATCATTATTTTTATTTTTATCATGAATGTTGACATCATTATTTTAAATCATGTTATTGTTATTAACAATATCGTTATTATTATTATCATTATCGTTATTATTACCATCAGTAGTACTATCATTGTCAATGTCATTTATATTGTTATTATTAATATTATTTCAATTAATTTTAATATCATTATAGTATTTTCTCTTTCTTATTGTTACCATTTTTGTTATTATTCTTATCATGATTGCTGTTATTATTATTGTTATTATCACTTTTTCCATTATTTTTTTTCATTATTACCATTAATATTATGACTAACATTACTATTTTTGTTATTATCATTATCATCATCATCATCGACATTAGTAGTTATTAAAATAATATTGATAATAATTATTATTTGTCGTAGTAGCCCTAGCTGTATCATCATCATTACTACTGTTATTGTATTAATGATGATAATAGTTATCATAATTAGTTGTAGTAGCAGTAATTGTAGTATCAGCATCATTATCATTATTATTATTATTGTTCTTATCATTATTATTATTATTTAACATTATCATCATAGTTATTATTCTCATTCTTATTAGTTTTGTTATTAATGTTATCATCATTATCATTATTGTCATTATTATTGAAAGTATTATCATTGCTACTACTATTATCATTTAATATTATCATCATTATTATTATCATTGTTATTATTATTGTTATATTTATCACCATCACCATTATTTTTTGTTTTTATTATTATTATTGTTGTTTTGTTATTGTTACCGTTGTTTTTTCATTATTATTATCATCTGCATTATTGTTATTATTATTATTATTGTGTGTGTGTGTGTGTGTGTGTGTGTGTGTGTGTGTGTGTGTGTGTGTGTGTGTGTGTGTGTGTGTGTGTGTGTGTCTAAAAAATAAATAAATAAATAAATAAAAAAGTTTCTCTATTCTTTGAGTTACGAATAGTG